GTAAGTTTTGGTTTGTTCTGAAGAAACAGTTCACTTGACTAAAAGCTCGTAAAGGATGTAGTGAAGCTTGTTTGATGAATACACTGACCATGCCATACCATCAACACTACCTCCTGTACACTGAAGCGAACAAATGTTTAGATCAATAAACGCCAAATATCCTGTTACTCCTCAGGGGTTAAGTGTATTCAGCAACGATGCATTCTATTGTATAACAGGACTACGGAATATGTCCAGTGAAGGTAGATGATGAATTGTTTACTACACAAAAAGCTCATATTTTATCGACTGGTATGAAGCATATAACTAAACTCAGAGAGACTGTACTTTTTCTGATTGCTTAAAAAGGCGTGAATCGATCAGTGATGTGTCAACAGAAGATCGTGTTTTTATACATTATTGGTGACAACAAAGTTGTGCAAAAGATGGGCAAATTTTGAATTCAATAGAAGTAAAATATTGCTGTTTTTCTTTGAAATATTCTCTTGATTTCATGTTTTGAAATAAAAATGCATGCATTAGATAGTTGGAAGCGATCGCGGCAGGAAGCCTTGAACCTAGGTTTCGTGCTAGTTGGCACTCACCAGTCAGCAAGGCGTATCTGCAACCTTGAAGGAACTCATGTCCCTTCTGGGATTCGAACCCGCGTCACCCAGTGCTGCAGTCAGAGAAGATACCACTGAGCTATTCGGGCTCGCGATTTACCTCCTGTAGGACTGCAGTGGGTAGTTTGATCGAACACTAGTAACTAGTGTGATGTGTCTAGTCTTTCTTTGGTGTAGACTGAATTCATACATTCTAGAAAGGGTTTAAAGGAAGGCAACACGTACGATTCTCAGAATGACCAATTTACCATACGATGAAAGGCTAAATAGTTTAAATCTCTTCTGTCTGACATAACGTAGGCAGACAGGAGATGACATCACAATGTTTAAGATCCTAAACAATGACTACGGACCGGATCTATTTTCTCTTTTCCTTCCAACACTTCAGAGAACATTGCAAGAGGGTTCAAAAACCAAGAAGGAAATATATACTGGTTTTCTCAAAGAGTCATAAACACTCCTGAACCGACATCCAGAAGAAGTGGTGTCAGCGACCTCGAATGACTAATACAATAAGGGTTTAAACAAGCCCAGAAACCTATTAGAAAGGGATTATATATCAGTGATATATATGGTCTTCTTACTGGGAAGATTATCAAAAACTCACACGACTTTATCAAACAGAAGCAAGATTCACAAACCAACAGATTTTTAACAGTCGGTGTTTAAACAATCATATGATTCCAAAATATTTACGCCTGTGTACTCCAATTACTTCAAGCAGAATAACATTAGCAGCCGAACATATCAGTAGATTATGTCTAAGAGAAGAACTACATAGAATTACTGTGAAACTAAATAATATACGAAATGAAATTGAGAAACCCAAACACAAGCTCAAATGTATGGTTAATGACAAAGATTGTGGAATTGTTGTTGAAACATCCGAAAAAGCTACAGAATCAGAATTAGAAAACTCAGAAACCACACAAATTAAAAAATTCAACAAAGTGATAGAAGAAAGAACACAATAAGTGAAGAATTTGACGCCAACATTTCAACAAAATGGGTGATCAACCCCTAACCAAGAGAACTAAGCTCTAGTGAGATAAAAGTATTTGAGAAAGGAATAAATTTCAACGTAACAGTTAGTAAATTACAACCAGAGGATGTCATTCCTAACATTATAGAAGCAGCACTAAGTTTAAAAGATAAGACGACAGAGGAAGAGGTTCGAACACAATGTGAGTTAACTCTGAACAATCAAAAGAAAGCAAAATCAAACATAACAAAATCGGGACGACTAGCTCTAGTTAGTCTGAAACAGGATAAAAACATCGTCATCGCGAAGGCTGATAAAGGAAACTCTACAATAGTTCTGGATAGATCTGACTATACCAAGAAAGTCACTGAACATATTGAGACGGGTTCATATGAGGAAATTGAGAAGCCTGTTGATACAATAATGAATAAGGTTAAGAAATCTACAGCGGATTTAATTCACAGAATGAAGCCATCACTGGATGAGTCTAAATGGTTTAATTTAATACCTAAAACTAATAATGCTAGTAGAATATGTGGTACTATTAGAGTAAATAAGCCGGATTACCCCATACGACCAAAAGTAGATTTCGGAAATACCCCTACTTATGAATTATCAAAACAATTAGCTCTAATACTATTCCCCATTAGAAATCGTTCAAACTCTAGATTAACTAATTCATATGAGATGAAAAAGAAAGTAAATGAAATTCAACTAGAGAATGATGAAACAATGGTTAGTTTTGATATAACTAGTCTTTTCACTAATATACCAATCAATATGGCTTTAGAAGAAATTAAAAAAGAACTAACTGCAGATCCTGAACTTACTCATAGGACGAAGCTGCCCACTGTGGAAATTATTTCAGGAATACACTTATGTCTTACATCTACTATCTTTAAGTTCCAAGGCAAAATATATAGTCAAACAGAAGGTGTAGCAATCGGATGGATCACCAATACCTCCAATCGTAGCAGATATCTTTATGGGCACCTGGGAAAATATTGCTCTTAATACATTTAATCCTACTCCAAAAATATGTCGGAGATATGTGGATGATAATTTCACAGTGTCCAAAACAGAACAGATCTCTAGCTTCTAAACAATTATAAACTCATTAGTAGAGGGAGTAAAATTCACATTTGAATCGGGAAATGAACAAGGAGAATTAGCTATGTTAGATTGCAAAATAAAACGAATAGAAGAAATAATTACTGTATGACACTGTGAAACTTTATCAAAATAAATTTTACGCATAATGGAATTATACTCTACCACAGTGTACAAGTTCTATCCTTATAGGCTTTAAGCCTACCTAAACTAATGACTCGAGATTTCACGTGTTACAATTTAATAACCCTATATAGTTTTTGATGTACTACATTTTGATTTATTCTGGATGTGTTTGAAGCTTTATAGTATTATAGTAATCACTCCAAAGTACACTTAACAGAATTTATAACTGGAACCAGATAACTACTAGTTAGATGTTTGAATCAATAAGCCACTATTGCACTAAACAGGTAATCTGAAAGAAGAATACAAGAACATCAGCGAAACTAGAAGTAAACATGTGAGGGTTAAGACTTCGGTCCTTAATTACATAACTAGTGTATCTACAATTCTGCCAGCAAATAATATTTAACTACCTGTCTCCATTAGTTACCAAATGTTCACTCTGATGGTTATCTTATATCAAAGTGTAGATTTATTCACGAACTGACACCAATTAGAGGATATTTGAAAGCAAACAAGCATTGAAAAGCAGGTTACAGAGAGCTAAACCACTGCCTAAATTATAAACGAGTTGCATTTCATAACCTGGAGGTGTTAGGTGGACATTCTTACAGAGTCATAAACGAGGACAGTGCTCATTATACCTTACTTTTTTTAATTATTCATTTAATTACCATAAGACAAAATTAACATCTGGAATTCATTTTATTAACTTCCACCTGAATACCACAATCAAGTCAAGTGACTCAAACTTCTGGTTCATTTGTAACTTTTCATTATTATTGTTCCCTTGAGTTCTGAGTGAAACATAGGGCTTCAACAGCACGTCTCTACCTTGTTCTTTTTTCTGCTGTCCTCCAGCTGGACCCACAATTGACCATAATCTGTCATCTCCTCGGCGCACGATCTCCCAAATGTTATCCTCAAAGCAACTACCCACTCGCCATTTCCCATTCGAGTTCCACTTGAGGGCTTCGCATGCGATGTCATTCGACGGTCTCCTCGGTGTGTGCCCAGTTCATTTCCATTTACCCCCCACATAAATGCTGAGCAATAAGTTCTTGGTTAGTTTGTCCCCTCAGTTCCTTGCTGCTAATTCTTTGTGACCAGCCAGCGAAGGCAGCTGATGATAAAAGTCTGCAGTGGCCTCTTTGAAATGCTTTCCATGATGTAAGCGCCAAGTTTCTGACCCATATAGAGGCACTAACTGACTGACTGACTTAACATTTGTGTTAAAAATCCGAATCATTCGGTTTACGCTGAGGAGTGCAGAAGATTTCTAATCTGATTTCAGGCTGATTCTCGCTGGTGTTGACATCTCCATCCATTCCCCTGCAGCTGAAACGATGCTTCTTAGATAGGTGAAGGGAGCGACCTTGTTCAAATTTACCCTAATATTAGCGATCGGTGCTGATTGTTGTTGGTGTTCGTTGGTTATCTTTATCACCTGTCTGCTCTACGTTCACCTGATGTCCTGTCTTCGCTGGCTGCTTCTTCAGTCAATTTGTTGGTTTTCGCCTGTACGATCACGAGTTTGTATAACATTAAAGAAAGATCATCTGAGAAATCCAGATTTCCTAGAGTCATCTTAACGGTTCAGCCTATTCCCATCTTCTCGCTCCGCACAGAGTGCTGAATAATCCATTTGAACACAATTAGGAATATTATCGGTGATAGTAGGCAGCCTTGTCTCAATCCTGTCTTCACTTCAGGCGCTTCGCTGAGTTTTGCGCTGCGGACATGTAGCATCGTCATATAGTTGTTGAATCAGGTTAATGTATGTCTGGTGTATGCTATATCACTCAAGTAGTTTCCAAATCACTTCGCAGTCAAAGCTATAGCAGAAGGCCTTTCCACAAATTAGCTAATGAATTCGAGGTAGAGTGAGATTCGACTGACAGTCTATGCTTTGTTCGATGATGCCGATGCATAGAGTTGTAATTTGATCCGCATATGATTTGCTTTCCTCCCGCTGAATCCACCTTGTTCCGGGTATTTGTAAATTGCTTGTCTTTTAATTAGTAGTTCTAAGTGCATAATAATCATAACTTGTCGAATAAAACACAAAATTTGCACTTACTTATTTTTGTTCCACTGAGTACAACATACTGCTTCAGTGTAATCATTGGTCAATAATAAGATAGCGCATTAAAGTGCAATTGATTACACTAACTACTAAGAAACATGCTTATTTTTCTACAAATAAATAAAAGCAGTAGTTATGACTGACCATTTTGAAATTTATTCTGACCTAAATTACAAAATGATATTAACAAACCTAAAGCATATTACCGGCTGCACACTTCTACTTCTACTAGTGATCATATCTAATTTTTCATTTATTCATGGAATGGATTACCTTAAACGTAGAAAATATGATGGTGTCGGTGTTCGATATGATATGAACAAGTTTGCAAGTTATGATGACATTTGTGATCATGAATCAGAGTATCATTTACGTGGAGTAGACTTGGACTTTCTTAACAGTTTATTGTCATATTTTGAAGGAGGTTTTCCTGATTTCCACAATTGGTTCCAAATTTTCTTGTGAAATAGTAATCAAACACCCAGAACACAATATGCATCCTTCTCAATCATTCTGTTCACCTACATGAAATAAGTGAAACAATTTTTATGAATTTTATGCAGTAAATAAAAAGTGGTGAGTGTTTTGGTAGTAAACTCTAATTTAATTGTACATCACCTTACTCTTTGCCTAGTGGTTAAGCTCTTTGACGAGTAATCTCAATTAAGGTTACCAGTAGTACATCATTGTGAATGACTCTATACGTGTAGGAAAATGCAGAAAGCACAAGAAAATGACTTATTGAATGATGAAGGTTACGTCAACAACGAGGAGAGTATAATCAATCGGATAGAGAGATTATGTTTATCACAGTCAAAAAGTTAGTGTTACTGTCAAAATTTAACACGAAATCTGATACATATTTTTGTATAATCATATTTTATAAACGAGCAGACAAGTCAACAGGGAAATACACTTCCGAAAAAGCAGGTGGAAGAAGAAGATAATGGTAGTGTAACAACACTAAATTGGGCGAACACAACTGTAGAAGGAATTAAAACCTAATGAGAATTAGAAACAATTATTTCCCTTGGTGAATTTAGACAAAGCGATAAGAAGAAGACGTAATTTGTCTCAATGATGTGATGTGTTTACGTGCAACCAAAGAAGGGAGGTATATAATGGTACATCTGCCCTGCTACCACCAAAATGAAGTTTACCAAGGAAGGTTTAGTGTGATGACGAATTGTTTAGACTTTCTAATTGCTAAGTCTTCCACAAACTTTAGGATACACCGCATAACACATTTCATAAATAGGTTTAAAAGAAGTGTGAACATCAATTTTAAGTCCTGTCTTTATAATGTTTCGCAATAGATGAGCTAGATTGTCTGTTCTCATCGTTAATGGGTTCTGGGGATTCCATTTGTTTCCGAAACCATTTAGGGAGGATATGTTCTGAAGCTTTTACTTGCAGAGATCGATGTGTCCTACTTGTGTCTACACATATATTTTAATTGGTTAATACAGTAAGACGTGACATCGTTTTTCGCATGTTCTAAGAGCTTATATATATTGGCTTCACATTCACAATTATTCTGACCTTAGCTGTATAAAGTCTTTTTTACCGCAGCGTTCAATTTTTGTCAAGCTGATATGATCACCTATGCGTGAGGTAGCTTAATACATACGTTTTTCTCAGTGGTAAGTTGAAGAATGGGTTTGGTATTCTGACCAACTTATATCTCCTTATGCACTTATCTGGATAATTATTATCAGTTTCATTTCTTCATCAACATCAAGTGTTTCTCCGATGCATATTCGCCGGATTCTACTGAATAGGTACCTCATTAAGGCTCCTATGGCCGAAAACCTCTTGGTATTTTCACACTCACCAAGTCTTATATCCCGAAAAGTAGGATAGAGCTACCTTTTGTCTAGCGATTATCTTGTCGGCAATGAAGATATAATACAAGTTGAAAAATCCCAAACGAGTAAGCGTTATCCATGCTCAGATTTAACTTCTTAAGTATGTGAATTTCTTAACACATCTGACCACTTTATCTCCATATTTAAACTAGAAGTCAGTGCGAATAACTAACTTTACATTATCCTACGTTTCGGGGAGGAAGGGGTGGGTGACGCGCATACCTAAGCAAACATTCCAAGACTTTTATCGAGGGTGTTCAAAAAAATTAGCTTTTCGTGCACTTCTTCGTTAACTTGGGCTATGCATCTTCTGCCAGTTTTAAGTTAATCAGCCTTTTTCTTGGCAGTAATTGCATTATCCTAATAATGGATTAGGGTAACAACTAATAATTTCAAGTAAAATAATATTAATCAATATTAATAATGCTTTATAAGAAAACAATGAAGAATATTATGAATATTGGGAACACGCTGAACATTACACCAGTTCATAGTAGGTAGATGAGACGGAGTGCTTCGGTGGCACAGTGGTAGAATGCTCACCGACCACACGCGTGGTCTGGGGTTCGACCCCCAGCCAATGCATTCTTTTACCTCGCTTAGCCAGTGATAAGATTGGTGAAGAGGGAAGGTTGGGCATGAGGCTAGCAACGCCATCCCGTAAAAGAAATAAGCGCCGCTGCTACAGAAACTTCAGGCCCCCACTAGGAACTTAAGGGAATAAAAAAACAAGAAGATGAGACCACTAATTTTAAAGTCCACATTCAGTCAGTAAGTATGGGAAATATACCATGACTAGTTATCCATATCGCGTACAGATAGTTTGCTTCATAATGATTTTACACAGCTAGATGAGTGTGAACGTTTCTGTTGCAAGGACAAAATTACAAACCAAGTATTCACCAATATAGTGGCAAATTTGATTTACTAGGAAATCTTTGCGATAGACAAAGTTCCATGCTAATAAGTCGTAGTTTGATGTAACCGCTTAAGTCTATACTGTTTAGTTCAGTTATGATGCACGTGCAGTAAGTAGGCAGTATTTTCATTTAAACCTCAACTAATGGAATGCATTTGCAATACTTGGGAGAATCGTTTGAAATAGAAATCTGTTTGTGAAATAATAACAAGTTATGAGGTCAAATATAACAATTAGTTATTATCACCTAAATTATTAAAACCATACAACTAGAATTAAATTACATAACAGTCAGAACGAAGTGTTAAATCCGTGAGGCTACCTTAATCACAAACTAAGGTATGTCGGCAGTCATAATTTTATCATATTTACTTCCTAAGAAGGACTACATACTTAGTGATCTCTCATTCGTGCGTTCTGGGTTGCAAAACACAGTATTCCTTCATGACTTCAGTACTTTATTTCCAACCAGAAGTGACTGTTGTAGCAAGTGAACAGATCAAATTAGAGCTCTGCACAGAAATGCTTCAGTTCAGTAAGTCACACTGTGGATAGCTGGAAGAAATTAACTACAATCCTAAGACCTTGACGGAGGAGTACGATACAGAATGTGTTAAACAACAATGACTGCTACAAGACGTATCTGACGTTTAATACGATAATAGTCAGTATGGTGCTCTAAGTAATTTGAGAAATAGTTAGCAAACTAGTGCTGACAGTAACCATGGCAAGAATAGATTAATAGTATTGTATTTACGGCTACTTAAGTTCTGGAGTGAAAAACTGCAAACGAAAAACCCAAGGGGAAGCATAGGCCACATACCTTCATAATCAGAAGATTATCATCGAGAGAAGTCATTATAGGAGCAAATCAATAGTCAGTAAAACCAATTGTGCTAACAGTAAGATAGTAGAAGCACTCAACAAAGAGTTGAAAATGCTGAGTTCGGGAAAAAAGAGCCATGAAGAAAAAACAGAACCAAGCACTAGTGTTTTGTAAACCAGGAACACGCCTCGTATCTACCCATCAACCAACAGGGTAAAAAAGCGAAAGAAAATGATATAATTATAGATTACAAAATACTTCAAAGTAATTAAAAGGTAGGGAAAACAAAGAAGTATAGTAGTACAATTAGGACAGGCGCAGTTAGATACTGAAGCCGACCAGACCATCGTCACTTTTCTGACTCATGATCGTGCAAGTTAACCAGCATGATGTTGAAAGTACATTCAAGACAGAAAGAGAGAAGCCTGATCAGGATTACCTACCCTCGTTTTAGGTGTACAAATTGAAACTGGTACAATGTAAAGCCCCAACCACCTAAGTTGTTAGATAATATCTGCGTAAAATTTAAGAACAACCTAAGTTATATTAATTTGTTCATGAGATCACAGATTTTGAGCAAATGTGCGTATCAAATTGCGACGCTACGTATCATCACCAAACAGCGCACAGAGCAGCAGTCAACTTTTAACCTAAACTGCATCAACTTTGAAAAGGCTTACAGCAGAGTTGACCGTGAAGTATTTTGTCTCAAATACACACGTCATATATGAGAGTGTCAAAGCTAGCCAATATCACAAAGGCGAGACGAACTTTCATTAATCTGAAAGCAATGTGGAAATGCACTGCACCCAGCATAAAGATCAAGATTCAGATTCACAACACCGATATCAATTAGGTTCTCTACGGGTTCAGACAGTTAGTGCACGAGTCACGAAAAGCATTTCAAACAGCCTGGTGCTGCAGACTTTTATCAGAAGCTGTCTTCACTCCATACCAAAGGTCAAATGGCTAGCAAAAAAAGATTAGCAACAAGAAACTTTGCACTGCAGCGAGCACAATAGGTATGCCGAGAGAAATGGAGATGAACTAGATATAGGTCTTTGGGGACCAATAAGTCAAATACCGCGTGAGGACTGCAGAGAGCAGGATCAAATGGATATATGCTGTTAGAGCCCTCCATTTTACTTGGAATCCAAGGGAATAATAATAATAATATTAATGTAAATCAATGAGGAAGAGAACACGATACAGTGGTGCCACCGACTTTACGATATTTGAATTTAATAAGGATTTTCATGATAGCATTTACCACGTAAGGTTTCAAGCATATTAAGATGTTTTCTTCTGTGAAATCTTTTATTACTTTAGCAAACCTAACAAGTTCTCTTAACTTGTTCCTTAGAATGCATTTCATGCAACTTCCAGAACAGAAAAGTCATATTTTGTAGGTTAGACAATCAGTGGTTTACGTTTATGCGGAACAAAGAGTGCCATCATTTTGGTGTTATTTCAAGTCGTTTCTCCATATAGTCAGAAACAAAACGTAAGCCTTTAATTATTATTGAAAGATGTAATTTATGGGCGTTACTAAAAGCTATTAACATCTACATCTTAGAGGGATTGGCAATAAACAGTATTAATTACGGTAATAGTCCGTGAATGACTTTCCTTGATCATCAAAAAAATACTAAATAGTGAATCGACAAATAACTGAAGGGGTTATCTATAGGGCTTTTCGGCAATTAGTTAGCACAATAGGGAATTGGTGATTACAATCTGGAGAATTTAAGCGCAAGTAAACTTAAGTTAAAGTTGACATCTTGACTAGACGGCACTGATTCATCATTTGTTCTTACTGCTTCCTGAACTCTGAATTACTGCATGATGTATTCGTTTATTGCTACAGGGATTAAGTATATAAAGTCACAACCTACCCTCTACATATAAACTCTTAGTAGTAATTCTTAAAACAAACAGGAATAATGGGAACACCAATGAACAGTTGTATCATGAACTTGTTTTTCCACGAAACTTATAAATCTATATGTGTAGGGATTTCCAATTAATATGTATTGAAGACTTGAGATAATCAGTGTACAGGCACTTTTTTCAGAGTAAACATGACAAGTACAAACTCAGTAAGCACTAAGTTTCTTCCAATAAGCATTATCTTGAAGTACAGAGTTGGAGATGTTCAGTTTATTTAAACCTCTGTATCATAAGAGGCATTTAACACGAAAAACGAATAGAGACGAATTCACAGTTGGTAATCAATTACAATGAAATGCATCAAAAGTTATGAAGGCTTAGACGGAACACTGAATCACTGACAAGAAAACAGTCGTTGAATTTGCGAAGGAAGAACATTTCACAAAATGGTAGAACTGGGTCTTCATCGCACTAAAATATATCAATCAAAAAAAAGTAGAAGCTTAGAAACCAGTACAATTAGGTTATCTAATGATCTGGAAATATAATCAAAAATGCATGTAGAATTTTCACTATAGTGACTTGAGTAAACACTGGAACGTCAACCAAAAATTAGTTTTTCAGTTGTGGTAAGTTGGAGAACTTGTAGAGGTACGTCATCCATGCTTTTAAAACACGAAAAAGTACATTTCACCAAACGTGACAGATATTCTGCTTCAGAGTTGCTAGCAACTTTGAAATGCGAAACAGAACTCCCAACAACATGAACGACGAAAACGGCAAGAAGCTATCAAGACACCTTTTAGTGCTTTGTGGGATATAAAACTAATTCCAAAAAACAATAGAATCAAAAACATCTATGTTTATCATGCATATATCAGACATGCTTAGGAGAATTTTCATACTGTTGGACATAACAGTTAGCAAGACGCCTAGTATCAGTAGGACTATTAGGTATCTAATGCCAATGTTTAACAAAAACAGCATTCAGAATTACAAGCTGGTAGTTCTTCGTACGACACTGTAATCATCACACGTCTAACACTAATCAGGAAACGTCTATACCGAAACGTTAAACCAAAAATAAAGCTTCATCAGTCCGTGAAGCCCACTATAACAGTTGGTTTAAACCAGCCATGTAGCTAGCCTGACTAGCTAGTTGGGGTTCTCAGAATGATGGTAAGAATCAATGGCGGCTGGAGACAATTATTGGTATGGCCCGAAATCATCGTTATTAATGATGGCACAGATTTGTTCACTCTTAGTGATTTGTCATATTTAATACAAGTCTATTGTTCCTCTACATTACTATCTATTTTGTTTATTATCTCTACTCTTTTCTTTTGCTGTGTGCGACAAGGAGAGTGGCGACTCGACCTGTAGCACTTCTGTGTTAGGTAGCATGTCTAAACCAGCCAGCATTCACTTGGAATTCATCTTTTCTGAGAAATTTTGGTTGAATATGGTATTAAATGGTCCTTGAAAAACTTTCGAAAACGACGCTGAAAGTCTTTAGTATTACTAGACGTTGTAAGTTGATGTGAGCCTACGGAAAAGTGGCAAGAATCATACTGTTTTGTATTCCGTGTGAAATGGTATAATAGAATGGACAATATTGAGGTCAGGCATCGAGAGACAGGTAAAGAGGGGAAATCAATGAGGTTGTGAAGTTACATCGATGGCGATGGTCAGGACATATGCTACGCATGTCTAACCATCATCTTCCTTGACGGGCAATGTCGGCTGCATTAGGGTCGAGCTGGGAAAGAGCCAGCGGTGGTCAAACCAAAACATGGTTGCATCAGTCAATAAAATCCACAACAGTTAGTTTAAGCCATCCACGTGTAGATTTCCTGGTAGGGGTCTTCGGGACAGTGAACACCGATGACTGTAGACAATCGCTGATATGGCTCCAAATCGTCTTTAATGGTAAAGATGCATCCACTACTTGTGACTTATGATATTCAATAACATTACTACTTTTTGCCTCATATCTCTATTTATTGCCTGTATTTCGCATTTCATTTGCTTTCTTCTCCTTCTTTTCTGGCTTTGTGTGCTGAGTGTAGTTTGGCGACTCGAACTGCTGCACATCGGTACACAGTTCTATGTTGCAACCAGTCAGTAAGGGATTATTGATACCAGTTGATCAGGAAAGTCATCGATTTCAAAGTTATTTTGGTGGTCTTTCGGGGCTGAAACGTATTTCAGCAATAATGTATGTACATAAAACAAAGAACTAACACATGTGAATTGCAAAAGATTAGTTAAACGCAATATTACTTTTAGTTGCCCACAAACAAGGATTAGGACTGAATTTTCACTTGGATGAACATCCACACTCGTAGTAGCAATCCGAATGGTATTGGCAGGGAGTGACTAAACAGGTTTAATGAATAACATTAAATACTCACTCGGAATTTTTCACCAATTTTCTCTTTGCCAATGATCTCCTGACCTTCATAGGTCATTCTTGCCTGATCCTAAAAGATAAGTTACAACATGATTGCACGTACGTGATAGAACAAGTTGAGCTGAGCCCGGTCGACTTGCATAACATTGTAATAGTGACTAACAAAACTAGCGCCAATGTCGCGATAATTCTCCGGATACAGCATATAGTTGAACATGCTTGTAGTACCGCCAAGACCAAAGATGCCGCTGCAGAGTTTGAAGTAACTAGGCATTCAAACATCCAATCTTCGCAGGCTTGAATCAGTGTACGTGTGGAGTAGAGTGCAGGATTATCACACAGCTATTTTGCTATGATATAAGAGACTTTTGATACATGATTTCCATTATTTCACTATGAGAGAACAGATATAATGTACGCTTAGTTAATGATCTGAATAAACATATTTCTGTGCGATGCATCAAAAAATAGCACGACTTAATTTTCATTGAGAGAGTTAGTTCAGGTTGCAGACATAAACTCTCTTGTGGTGTAGTTAAACTAATATTTACCTGTTGGGATGTGCGAAATAACGTAGTAATAGATTTCTAGTTGAATGACTTTGAAAAATATTAAATATTCAAACACGGGTGATAATGCCAAAACCAGGATCGCAAGGACAAGATAAACTTTCAACTATCCGAATTTGATTTGGAAACCTATTGCACTCAGCACAAAGAGCGAGCTGGTAATTTTCAACACCACTATCAAGAAGACACCAGCATGAGGGATTTTGTTAGTTTGCCTCGTTGGTCAAGTGAAGTTTTACGGGTTCCTACGCTTAGGTTTCATATACTTATCACATATGATAATAAAACGCCTACTCAATACTAGAACTGTCAAGATAACAGCTAGAGAGGCCCATTGTGCAACGTGACACTGAAAGTTCCTTAATCAGGTAACCAGGGAGGTTTGGAAAGCTTGGTGGAAGTGTTGCCCACAATTAACTTAATTGCAATGGTTAAACAGTTAAGATGTTCGAGTGAAAGAACCATCCAAGGGATATTATTAACATCGCGAACGACGCGAGGTACTGTTAAAGTACGGCAAACAGCAGTGCAATGCACTTTTAGAGGGCTCTAAGACTCGCCGCTTAGGGACAGTAAACAATACTATGCGAAAGCGTGATATTTGTTAAATTCCGTCTGACCAGACAAAATGACTCAGCTGCAGCCGCATAGTCATGTGAAATGCACTCTTTCTCGCCAAACCTACCCCTCTTCAGAGCCGATGGATTTAACAGCCGTAGTTCTGGTTACCTAAAGGAAGCCTACTGCAGCGACTACGCATCCTTATCCACCGGAATCCATTGTATGTCTTCATACACACCGTAACCACAATTTAGACTGTTAGTGCAATAAACACAACCGCTTTCTATGTGATTCATATTAACCTGGCTCTCCTATATGGCAGACCATGTCTATACTTTCTTTCCAGACAGCATATTTCGTTCATTCATTTCGAACGAAAATTCCTTAACATCGATGGCAAAAGTCCGTTCAAAACCGGGCAAAGTGAGGAAAGCGGATCGTTTCTTAACAAACTTGATTTATTCTTCTTAGAAAATGGGAAAATGGAGAAGAGTGAGGGATAACGTGGGTATCAATGAAAAACCAGAAAAGTCGGGAATTTCTTAACGCATTTTATCCAGTGTTTTGCTGAAAGATAACCAAGCAGCTCGACGAATCAGTGGAGTTTTCAACCATCAGTTTTCGGGTAGAAACACACAGAGGAAAGAGGGCATTTCGGTGGACGAGAGCCTGGTAATTGCGTTGTATATCTATACCCTCTTTATACCATCGTTGATAAATACTAATTTTAGCAGCCGTAAGTTTAGGTCGACCGGGCCAAATAGTTAGCAGGTAGTGTGGCTGAAGCTCAGATGTGCTGGTATAGATGGTCAAGTTGCATTCATGAAACCCGATTCCAGTTGAAGGGGAAAGGACGTGAGCCCAAAGCCATTCTGTCAGCATAACTGACAGGTTTCCTAAAGCTGGTGAACCCAATCAGATTTACGCTGTTCCATTATGGGTAAATTTTTGTTTTGATAAAGTCTCACAGTGTTATACAGTAATATTTACTGATGACGTGATATGATTATGAGCAATAAATTGTGCTCGAAACGTCATCAGTAAACATTACTGTATAACACTGTGAGACTTTATCAAAACATAACTTACCCATAGTGGAATTATACTCTACCAGTTGTTTTTATTTCATGCCTTTTTGTCTATTTGGTGCACAGCCGTACCCTACAGAGAATAGGAATAGAATAAGTCGAATCAAATTCATAAAGAGCTATAAAATGTTAGGTTTAATGGAATATAATGCGGACCAATTAAAGGAGTTATTAGAAAATGAATGAGATAAGACATTGTGAAGTGGTATTTAATGATCCGACAATGGATGGCAAGTTAATTTATAAGATGACCCATAAATCTGTGCAGAGCCCATGTTGTCTCAACAATAGGCTGAGCGAATGGTATATGTTTAGAGGCAGGAGCATGATCTGTCAAGGCGTTCGTTATTATCTTTTTCAAGATAAAGATCTATGCGCCCACAAAAATCAGAAATATCTCGAGCCTTCAAATTGCGTATTGCTGTTCCTGCAGAATGGGGTGATTCACCTTAGTGACCACCACCATATCCACTGATCAGCTAGCACCACCCTCCCTCCTTTTTTGATGTTAGGCTCTGAGACTATGATTATTATGGCTACCGCAAATATAGATTAGATTTGTCAGGACGATCAGCATATGGATGGATATGCATATGCCACAGCTCTTCCACCACTGGAATTTAGTTAATTCTATTTCGTATCAGGTTTGATTACTCCATAGTGCTGAGATATTCAGCAAAGGGTCGCCGTATGACTGTGAGAAGTATGTGTATGTTTCAAATGCATAATTTAAGGAATTTCTACCGTCACTGAGTGTAAACTCGATGTAGGGAAGGTGTAAAATCTGAGTCATACCAACGGTATTGTGGATTTATATAGTTCGTGATCATTACAAATAAAACGTCGCCGTATATTTTTCGTGAAGGAAGACTATAGTCAGTGAGGTATAAGTGGTGTCGAACAGAAGCTTACTTCTCAATGTGACACCGTGGTATGCTTTGCCCTTGTTTTATTATATTACATTCGTGTTTCTGTTTTGGTTTCAATCATTGTATCATGCGAACATTATACGAGATAGTTTTTTCACGACATTTTCTAGGATGCTGCCTTTTTATTTGAAATATTTAATAGAGGAAAAATGTAATGCTTGGTAGCCCCATTTCTGTCGCTCGTTTCTTCCATATCTGGGAATATCTAATCACGTAAATCTTTTACCTGGTGTGTCAATGTAGTTGAAGATTGAACGATCGATTCATGGTTGTTTGCTCAAAACCAACTTCCCCAATTTTCGCGGAGGCATCAATACGACAGTCATCGTCTCATCGGTCGCTGTTCAGAAAGAAGTCAGCAGAAAACCGTCAGAAGTAGTATTGTGATTCATTATTGTAATATTTGTTCACAGACCTTAGTTGTAACGGTGTTTATATGATGGTGTTAGAATAAATAATTCTTGAGTCGCCAAACTGGGTTCTGGTTTTTGCGTCCGTTATTACTAAGCGTTTCTGAGAAACTTCAAGGAACAGCGTGAGCCCGAGTGCAGCAAGAGCTGGGCATTAACTGTTTATGAGACGTGGCTGACAGTTTCTGACGGTACAACGTCAGTTTTTAAACGGTTTTGGACAGTTGGCACGATTTTGGATAGCCATCGTTCACCTTTCCTGGTGCCGGTCAGGTCCTCTTTGAACAAGCAATATCTGGAACGTTTATGGAATCGGGTCAAGTTCAACAATGCCTGGGTCAAAGAAGGGACAGAGCGTCTTGGATGCAAACAGGAAGGTAAGTCATGGTGACTTGTCTGTTAACTGTAACGATGTGTCTGATGTTAAGCATGACATGGTTGATGTTACTGTTTCGCCGTTCATGGATAATAGGAACATCAAACTCCCTAAATTTGAACCACGGTGTTTCGATGGAAACCTGGCTGATTATTTACAATTTGTAAAGGAGTTTGAGATCATGCTGAGTAGTTTTTTATTAAGTGATGAATTGAAATTGATGTATTTGATGAGGTATTGCACTGGAGATGCTTCAGGAGCTATACAGTGCTGTAAGCTCATGCCCCCTAATGAGGGATACGCTGAGGCTATGAGAATACTACGTCAAAGGTTTGGAAGACCTTCAATGATTGTAAGGAACGTATACGAAGCTGTCAAAGGTAACAGCAGTCAACTTCAAGATGACTCCAAGGCACTTACTGAGTTTTTAGATAATCTTATGACTTATAAGAATACCTTGGTTTCGATGAATTGCATGAGTGACCTCAACTCGAGTTTTTTACTAGAAGTAACAGCAAGACGCCCACCTACTCGACTGCAAAGGAAGTGGGTGAAGATAAGCTCCCGTATGGAGGATGAGGGTATCTAGCCAAAGTTTGATGATATCCTGAAACTGGTAAATAATAGTGTCAATCAATCCATGAGCAAGTTTGTTAGTATATTGAATCTCACACCTAGAATAGAGCAGTCTGAGAGCAAAATGCAATCATTGATGAAGAGTAGGCCTCAGAGAGGTGGATATCGAGAAGGCTCCATGATGTATAGTAATGCATATAGACCTAGTGAGTGTAACAGGTTTCGTAGTACATCCTCAACAGATAAGTTACAAGATGCAAGACAAACACGGTTGTGTTTTACACGCTTGCAAGAAGTGCATACAAAGGTGAACTGTGAATCAGTGAGCAAGTTCAGTGACAAGCTAAATGTGAAATCAAGGTCTGACTCCGAATTGTGCGACGATAACGGTGCGGTGAAGAAGTCTGTAGTTGCAACTGGTAAGCCGTTGTTGAATAGAGTGTCACAGAATAGAGTTATTGCTTCAGAGTGCAGTTCTGACTCCACAAGTTTACAAGGTATTGCTAGTCAGAGTGAAGTTATAAAACCTTTTAGGATTTGCGAGGAAGAATCCAAATCATCTACTGCTATTATTAAAGAGTTTGAAAAGGATGAAATTGACGGTAAAGTGAATATTCGTGATAATGATCATGATACTTCACAGTTGTCCTTGGTTGATCATAATGAGATGAGGGATATGCCTACTACTGCTAAGTTGAACAAAGGTTCTGTACAACTTGAACGTGAAGTAGAAATAAATGCAGGTGCACTTGCAGAAGGCATGCA